AGTAGAGATATATTGGAAAAATACAAATTGAAATAAAAACTATGTACAGTAAAAAATAAAAAAAATAAAAAAATAAAAATCGGTCAATCCTTCAAGCTTGGGTCCTCTACCAGAGACCTGGGAGCTTGAGGGTCCTGCGCAAGTATCTTAGCTATTCCTAGGACTGCGCTCTTCTGGAAAGAGATCTCCGCTGTTGTTCTCGGGATCTGCTAGAGCCACTCGCCTAGCTTGGAAGTCACTGCACCTAGTGCTCCGATTACCACTGGGACCACCGCCACCTTCACCCTCCACATCTTCTCGAGCTCTTCTCTGAGCCCTTGGTATTTCTCGAGCTTCTCGTGTTCCTTCTTCCTGATGTTGCTGTCATTCGGAACCGCTACATCGATACTACGTAGGTATTGATGGCCCGGATCTTGTTCTTACCATTCAGCTGACTCCTCAGGATTTGCCTGACCCTCTGCAGGTACTTGGTGGTTGCAGCTTTCCTAGCGGCCTCTTCATGGTTCCCATTCGCCTGCGGGATCCCCAGGTACTTGTAACTGTCCTCTATGTCTGCAATGTTGCCTTCTGGTAGTTCGATCCCCTCCGTTCTGACTACCTTCCCTCTCTTTGTTACCATCCGACTACACTTCTCCAGCCCGAACGACATTCCGATGTCATTGCTGTATATCCTGGTAGTGTGGATCAGTGAATCGATGTCTCGTTCACTCTTGGCATACAGCTTGATGTCATCCATGTACAGGAGGTGGCTGACAACTGCTCCGTTCCGTAGTCGGTATCCGTAGCCAGTCTTGTCAATTATCTCACTGAGGGGGTTCAGGTCTATGCAGAACAGCAGTGGGGACAGAGCATCTCCTTAGTAGATCCCGCACTTGATGGTGACTTGTGCTATGGGCTTGAGGTTGGCCTCCAGTGTTGACCGCCACATCCCCATTGAGTTCCTGATGAAGGCTCTCAGGGTCCTGTTGATCTTATATAGTTCTAGGCATTCCAGGATCCAGCTGTGGGGCATCGAGTCATAGGGTTTCTTGCAATCAATCCAGGCAGTGCACAGGTTGGTCAGTCTGGTCCTGCAGTCTCGGCTGACTGCTTGGTCTGCCAGTAGCTGGTGTTTTGCGCCTCTGGTATTCTTGCCCATCCCTTTCTGTGGCCCGCTCATGTATTGACCCATGTGCCTGTTCATCTTAGCCGCTATGATACCTGACAGGAGCTTCCACGTGGTGCTGAGGCAGGTTATTGTATTGTTCTGCCTCCAGCCTTGGTGGTGCTGTTCTCATATTGTTCCCCTGCCACTGAGAGTACACCTTGGCTGGTTCCGTGGAGAACAGCTGGTTTATTCTCTTGCCTTCTATCTCTCTGGTGTACCTCCTCAAGCGGCTGGCCAAGGCTGTGAGTCGTTGCTTGGCAGTTTCCAAGGTCTCAGGTATGGACAGCTTCCTGTACTTCTTAGGCACCTTCCTCATCGCGCCTTTCTGCAACTCCGATAGTTGGCTAACCTCCCTCCGTGCTACCTTGATCTTAGCCTCTAGCCTCCTTCTCCATGGAGAATACTGCCCCTTGTGGCTGTTCAACTTGTAGCCAAGCATCTCACTGATCACTGCTGCCGTATTGTAGATCAGCTTGTTAGTGTCGGTAATCGTGGTTGTAGGTATTGTCCGTAGTGCTGCATTAACATCATCTAGCAGACCTTCTGAGGGTACTTCACGTAATCTTGGTAACCGGCTACAGGGGGTCCAGGTTTCAAGTTTGGCCATGATCCTATCTTTCAGGTCACTTCATCATCATTAATCATTATGCTGGGTAAACCATGTCAAGGATGAAGGATCAAGGATGAAGGAAGCTTTATTGTTATTCGCATCACATGTTTACATGAGGTGGAATGAAATTATGTGCACATGGTCCCGGTTATCCATAGAAGTGAAAAGAAACAAAATAACAAAGAAACACAAAACCCCCCAGAAATAACAAATAACAAGTAATAAAATAATATAATATAAATAGAGTGCAACAACCTGAGTACCAGTATGGAGTATAGATATAGAAATATAGGTATAAATATTTTAGCAGCAAGAGGCCATGATGACTAGCATTGATAAAGTGACGGTGTCAGTAAAGTATCGGTAGTATAACAGTTCTTGTCTGTTTATGCATTGAGAAGTTTCACAGCTTCTGGAACGACGCTGTTTCTCAGTCTGGTAGTTTTGCATTTAATGCTCCTCAGCCTCCTGCCTGAGAGGAGAGCAGCAAAGAATGAGTGTGCTGGATGAGTTTGGTCCTTCGTGATATAGGTAGCCCTCTTCCTGCATGTGGATGTCAACACCTCACTTACAATCATACCTAAGAAAACACTGGACAAGCCTCTGTTGCATCTCAAATATGTAATGCCTCACTCATTACCAATGAATACTGACCTATCACGGATGCATATCTATGTAATATCCAAAAATGTATTATTAAAAATGAAAACCAATTCAGATAAAGATTCTTGGCATAAATTCGCCAGCACAGTGGCACAGACTGCACCGCTTACAGCTAGGGATGGGTACCGGTATCCAGTGCCATAACATAAATGGTAGTAACCAGACCGAAAAGCAGCGCACATTTCGGTGCTTCATTTCGGTGCCTTTTTTTCCTGAAATGTCACACACTTTGGATTCCAGCCAATCATTTTACCTTTGCAAGCATAGTAGGCGGGCCCAGGTACGTATGTTCTTTTAGAGCAGAGCTACAGATTAAAAATACCCAAGGCGAAGCGGTCAAAGTCTGGCTGTACTTCACAACAAAAGATGCAAACTCAGCAGCCTGCAACAAGTGTTTTAAGGTGATACTGTGCAAAGGAGGTAACTCCTCGAGTCTGATGAAACACCTGGCGACGTATAGCATTTTGTTAAAAGCCGAGAAATGCGCCGTATTTGATAGCTTGCTGCGAGACCTCACACCGAGCACATCTACTGCGGGTGGGTTGCCTGTTATCGGACCCAGAGTTATCCCAACATCCCCCAAAAACCCGAAGCCTGCCAGTGTAGCAGAAATGATGTGGGATGATGATGCAGCAGCAGCCGTTCTTCTCTGTGTGAGTAGCTTAATGTTGTCCGTGTGTGATTTACGTTGAGTAGGCTAACCACGTTATTACATTAATGCATGTAAGGGAAACTAGCAAACAGGCATCATAGTTACATGAGGCTGTCTTCTTGTTTGATGGCAGATACTCCCTTCACCCTGGCCAAAAAGGCTAAAATGACCAAAGAAAAAGTGGAAAACAGCTAAACATGAGAGGTTTTTGGACAAAGTTTGTGTTTTCCATTGATTAAGCACTGCTTCCAGCCAAGAGTGATGCCATAAATCCCCTATAGCTGCAGAAAAGGCTAACATTGTTATCTTTTTACAAAAAAACAGCTGAACATGAGAGGTTTTTGGACCAATTTTGTGTTCTCCATTCTTTAAGCACCGGTTCGAGCACCGTTTAAGCACCGGCACCGTTTCAAAAGTACCGGTTTGGTACTGGTATCGGATAAAACCTAAACGATACCCATCCCTACTTACAGCACTCTCAGTAGTGTCTGCCAGTAATACTAACATCCAAATAAGTTTGCAAACATGTTGCAAATGTGTTTGTTACTGAAACAAAGGGCTCCTATGAACATAACTCTTACTTACTGTATATAATTTTCATAGTTTTTCCTGGTTTAAAATTGACAGCTGATAATGAAAATTAAAAAGTAAAGAAGCACCCTTCATTCATGTTCAAACATGTTTACATTGCGTAATTTGCTTTCCACCAGAGGGCACTTTAGCTTCCCTTTCGTTTATTTGGAAAACAAAACAAAACAGCAGAATACACACTGACACACTGGAATATCGGATTTTTAGATCACCAGTATTGGTATCAGTGTGAAATATCAGTGGGGATCTAGTTAAAAGTCTTTGAAAATCAGAGTCCTCATGTCCCTTTGGAGGAAGGCCAAACCCCCTGTGGCAGGTACCAAAATCAGTTTCTATTTCGGTTTTCTACATACAGAATATGAACCACTGCACCAATAACAGATGTTCTTTGGCTACCTCCTAAAATCTGACACTAATATCATCTACAAAGAACAGTTCTGCTTCTGCACAACATTACACAGAGAAGTGTTTCTATTATTCTAGCCTGCAGTCTTAATTCTGCGGACAGAATAACAGAACTACCTTGCAGGACACTTGCACTCCAGTTCTAAAGCATCATAAATCGGGTCATTTTGTGGCTGTTTACACGCTCTACAGGTATGTTGTATGTGTTTACACGCTTTGTTTCAGCAATGAATTCCACAGGAGAGGATCTTTTTACAGCTAAATTATAACGGTCTCGTCTTTATGATGGACAAACCGGTGACAATGTTTCCAAATCCATTTTTTTACCGACATTAATTCCTTCATATGCATACACCTATGATAAGATGGTGCTGGCTGATACACTGGCAGTAGGCCAACCAATCATTTGGGCTCTAAGTGCCATGAAAATGTATTTAAGAACTTTCTGACCTCGCCCTTATAGCTTGACCTCAAATCAAGGTAGCAGACATTACCTTGTGCAGAGCTTGGAGAAAGTCGTTGAAGTCCCAACCAGCAATTTCAAACGGCTTGCAGGTTTTCGCCTCCGTTTCTAAGCGGAGGTCGTAAACACGGATTTTCTTCTCTCCCTGCTGCAAGGAAGCTGCTGCAGACCGACGCTGGGAGGCAGAAGTCAGCATCGTCGCCGCTTCGCCTTTTCACGTTACTCTGAAATGAACGGTCGTCCTCGTCCAGACTGGAGTGAGAGACTCACATCCGCGTTGTCTGGTCTGGTATTAAAAGTATGTGTAGTTTCCGCGGGACTCGTTTCTCTCACTCCTCTGCTCTGCCCTTCGTGTAGCGATTTCATCCGTAAAGCGCTGGTGTTTCTACGGATCGTCATATGGGACATAAAACTTGCGTCATCTACTTCCGCGATGATCTACGTTGGTTAACGACTGAGTTTTGCCGCGCAAGTTTCGGTTTTATTTTCAAAGAAATAGGCTCGTTTGCGCTTACGTGTCCGGTTGCTCTCAAGCACGAGCTTAAATCCCGTCTGGTTTCAAACAACACCCCCTTTAATTATGTCCGTGGTGCTCCACGGAAGCCTCGGCTGGGTTTTGGATTCATGCTCGCTTATCGATCGGGGATATTCGCCGTGCATACGATGGAGAGAGAATCAGAAGTCAGCTCTGAAGTGTAGTTTCAAAAGGCAGTGCTTCCAGGTTTTTAAGAGCTACTATAACGAGAATAACAGAGCAGATGTGGATGCAGGGAACACGGAGGTCCTGAAAAAAACATGCAAACCCTCAAAGGTAAATGCTGCTGCATTTTCTCAAGTGATGCATGAAAGTGCAAGTTTTTTTTCATATTCCCACATGAATCAAATCAAAATTTCTAGAATATGTATGCGTTTGGGGGAATAAATCGTTCATATATATTCCTAGAAGGCAGTTTTGCACATTTTTATGACGTAAAAAGATAGAATTGCCTTTATAACGACGAGGAGTATACACCTTTTAATGAAACATGAAATATCTGTTGATATAGTGCATAAGGCATGAGGGAAAGCATAAATATTTAAATTTTAATGTTATTTATTTATTTATTGTTGTTGTGGTTGTTGTTTTACTAAAAGGTTAGTGACACTTTACACTTTACTTTACTTTACACTTTACTGTTATATATATTACTAAATAAGTAATAAATAATATTTACTTGTTATAATTGTCAGGGACTTCTGGTTTTTGCGGTAGTAAGAGTCCCACTTTGTGCCAAAACCAACAACAACCAAGAGTGATGGATGTGAAAGTTTAGTTACCCATGCGCCTGGAGTAACCCCGACTGCATTATGTCATCTTCTGACTACTATATCTGCACTTCCACCACAGCACATAGAAAAGGGAATGAATGGGCCCCATTGTACGATTTAGAAGTTTTGAAGAAGTCAATTAACGCACACACACATATAGACAGGACACATATTCTTGTTTTTGCCATTTTCAGGGCCCACTACTTGTTTTGCTTTTCTAACGGCTTTTAAGACCACCTTTTCAGACACATTCAGATATGTCTTGTTTTTGCCATCTATTGGGACACGCCTGGTTTAATACTTATGGAGTCCAATTGCACTCTGTCACATAGCCTCAAGACAGACCACATGGAGATAAAATATAACAATGTATTCTAATGTGGTTTGATAGGCTAATGAAACACAGTAATGTGATATTAGCATATTAGCAGGGGAGACATAATCCCCTATGTCCCCCTTAAACCTGTGGTGATCAGCTGGCTCTTATTTTCACTCCAATTTCCAAAAGTTGATTCTGTTCATCTGAACGTAGCGTTTTCAGTGGGAGAAATGTTTCATCACTCATCCAGGTGACTTCTTCAGTCTCAGCTGACTGATCAGTGGTTGTTGATCAATGGTCATCAGAATTTTCATAATTAAGATTAAGGAACTCACCTTCCAGGCCATTGTTCCTTCGGTGGGCTGGTTTCAGTCATTATGCAAATGTACTGTTTATACGATTGGGGAAACCTGCAGTCAGCTGAGACTGAAGAAGTCACTTGGATGAGTGACGAAACGTTTCTCCCACTGAAAATGCTACATCCAGATGAACAGAATCAACTTTTGGAGATTTACTTACCTGGATGATTGAGAATGCATCAAGACATTTTCACTACAATCTTCATCAGATCCTAAAGGAGGTGCGCCCACAGGAGGGCCTGATGCGAGCTACAGAATCTCCAAAACTAGAACAACCACATGCAAACTTTCTGTGTCTGGTGCTTTCCAGGTTTTCTGTCTCTTGAAGACCTGGCTCACATCTTCAGGTGGGCATAGTAGAGTCGTGATGGGGGTATTTTAGGGTGCGGGGTATGAATGTATCCCTCAAATCTGCAGTACAAAGCTTGTCATCCAGGTCTTTGTCTCAGTTGCAGGTATGGTCTCCTGTAGTTCGTGATGTCTTGTCTATCTTCTGCTCCCCAAGATACTTAAACTCCTTCACTTGGGGCAGCAATTCCTCCCTAACCCAGAAATTGAATTCCCCCTTTTTTCATTTAATGCTCACTTGATGCTACCTCAGTTGTGTCTGTTTGTATAGCTACTTGCCTATTGAGAGCCTGCAGAGAGGACTTTTCAGCCTACACGAACATCATTGCGTGTTGAAGAAGGAGGAAACAAATCTAAAGAAAGTAGAAAGGTGTTCCTGAGGTCACCAAACTGATGGAAATTCTGTCCATAAAAGTTATGAATAGAATTACTGACTCATATCTGAATTGCCACTGGCAATGCAAACAAAGCTCTTACTATGGTTATACAGGTTGTACAAATAGTCTGTAACAGCATGACAGTCACCTCTACCAGGGGCTCCAAGAAGCCCGATGCAATGTAATTCAACACATAAGCACAAGCCATACCTGCAATACCAAAAGGCACTTGACAATAAGCACTTTTAAGACCAAAAAGATACTCAGCTGTCAAACAGTTCGCCTACAGCACCTGTAGCATGTTGACATTCACCTGGCAGGATCATCTGCTGCAGGGATTACTATTTTTTTTGCAGGATAGCTCTGCAGATAACATCTCACTGGTTCTCTTCCACAGTTTCCTCTTTAACAGGGTAGATTTCCCACTCAGCCCACATTCAGTGGCATCTGGCATCTTTGTGAGAGACATATAAGGTTTCTTGATCATTTCTTATTTCATTCTATCTTATATTATATATCCTCCATTCAACAGCCAGCTCCTATTGAAAGCTTTTTCACTCTTCACTTTAAGAAGGAGGTTGAGTGTGGCATGTGTCACATGACATAAGTACTAGTTTTATGTCATGTACTAGTACTGACATCAGTTTTGTCAGTGGTCATTATGTCAGGCTCTGAGGACATTCCTGTTCACACCCAACAAACCTACCTGGTTGTGCCAAAAGGTTGGTTTCTATTGTCGTGATCGTGTTTTCTGTTATGTGGGACATAAAATACTGATGTGTTGTAAAAGTTAATAAGGAACTCTCTTAACCATAGTGAACTTAAAGCTCAGGAGTTGCTAATACATTAATGCATTTTCACGTTGTTCTTATCAAGCAGTCCAGTAACATGCAACAGTGAGCAAGCAAGTAAACCAAGGATCCTGACACTGAAGCAGAAAAATACATTTAAAAAGTAGCATTTTATACCTGCTACTTTTATGGTGACTTACAATAATGAAGAATCCAGACTGATTGGATATATTTTAACTCACATAAAATCTGCAAACAGACTTGCACAAAGTTATTCTGCTTATTTCAGCACCACTGATATTTGTTTAAATATTAAAATGACAGACATGTAAAACTTAACTCTGTCAGCTCAGTTTAATGCCAGATCAGTAGAATTTGCTTTAGAGTTTGACACAGTGGATTACAGTGGTGCTACTGCTTGCTTGGTTGGAGCTGTAAAGAACAATACCATGATCATTTTGCTCTTTGTTGTACTTACTCTTTATCACTTCATCAACTTGACTTACAGAAAAGGAAACGAAAACACCATGAACTCAACCAAGGGGAAATTGATTCACTGGTCTTTCACGAGAAGGTAGGCTGATACTTATTCTGAGCCTGAACTACAAATAAGATATAATCTGTCATCTGTCAATAGAGTTGTTCTTGCAGGGACTGTATTGCCCCACTGAAGTTAAAGCATCACAAAGAGAAAAAATGATTGGGGATAATCAGAGTCACAAGAAGTCTATGGAAAAAGTGGTCAAAGTGTAAACTTACGTGTCAAACTGACTGATACAGTTATCCACAGAATCGTCCTGTTTGAGCCAATGTAATAGATCACACTTTTATTCATATAAGTCGATTATTAGCAGTATGATTGTTGTTAATTTATTCATTAATGCTTCTTTTAAATATCTGATTTATATATGGCTTAGTGTTATTTGTTTTTTATCTACACAATAATACACCATCCATAACAAACATAACAATGAAACAGACCTTTTTATTGTAATGTGTTATGATTTATAACTCAAAACATGACATCACAATGTCACTTTGTGATAAAGTAAACGTTATTTATACTTGTATTATAGTTTTCATTTTAAAATAAGTCATTTTAGTTAAAAGTCATATTGTTAGAGAATTTCAATACGCCAGTGCACAGATATGGGCTGAAGAGCACTACATGGACAAAGTGTTGAAGCTCTTTGTCCACATATTTCGTGCTGATGTTAATGCCAGAGGAGGTTTGGAACTAGCAGTTATTCAGTCCGCAGAGCGTTGGCAACTTTTATGCACTATGATCCTCAGCACTACGCAACCTCACTATGTAACTTTATGTGGTCTTCCACTCTGTGGCTGAGTTGCTGTGATTGCTAAAAGCTTCCACTTTGCTTCCACTTATAATCGATTGTGGAATATCTAGGAGGAAAGACATTTCACAAGCTGACCTATTGCAACAGTTACATCCAATTACATCAACACGCTCAAATTCAGGGAGCTCTTTAGGACGACCCCTCCTTTTACAAATGTTTTTAAAGGCAGACTAAAGGTGCTTCATTTGATCCATCTATGGTGATGGGACTGAGAACAACTAAATTGAAAGATTAAGAAGTATGCACTTTTGTAAGATGTCCATTTTTGAGGCATTATAAAATAATTAAAAGACAACATCTCTACAACTGCTGCATTGACTTTTATCTCCAACACTTTCAATCAGTGGAGCTTTGTTTCAAGTTATTGTGCATTCATCCAAGTTTAAAATATTAGAGGTAAGAAGCTGGTTTAGTATTCAGACTAAATAATCTCTGTTATGTGCCATGACGCAGATAAAGTCTGTTATTCTGGAGGGAACCAAGTACTTGGTGGATTCTGCACAACCGCTCGGCTATCTGAATGGACAGACAAACGTGGACAAAGAGCCTCTTCCTTCACAGGAGTGCAACCTCGCTGCTCTTTGTGAAATGGCTAAAGATCTCCCTCTGGTGGAGGATGAGGAGCAGGAACAGGGCGCTCAGTTACTTGTTGGCGAGGATGGCTGTACGTCTCACGTCGACTTGTTCTCTCAGGTGACAGAGAACAAGGCGGACTGGGCTACCGTGGTTACGGTGATGGGAGAGGAGTATGTAATACCCCCCCACACGGCTTTCCTGCTGTCTGATTTCACGAGGATACAACCATTAGTCCACTGTGAGTAAAACACTGGGAGCAGTGCATGTGAACTAGAAAGAAATGTTAACTGAAACAAAGGTTATTAAAAAGTTTTTTTTAAAGCCTTACAATTCTGTGTGCTTGTGATACCATTATTTGAAAGGCAAAAGTTTATCTTTGTGTGAGGCAAAAACACGGGGACTCTTCCCTGAACTTAAGTGTTGTAAATAACTGTGGTATGGCTCAGTGTAATTTCTCATCGTCTCAAGAGAGATCTTGTTTGTTGTTTCACAGCCTGACATTCTTTGCTTGTTTCTCACACAGACGGAACAAGGTTCGACCTAATCGTTATGGATCCACCATGGGAAAACAAGTCTGTGAAAAGAAGTCGCAGGTAATTCAGTATTCAAGTACTTTTGGAGGACTGAAGCAAAAGAGGATAAAACTTTATAGATTTCTGGGTATGAAATTTACATGTTACAAGAGCATATAAAGCAGGGTGAATAGGAAGAACAAATAAGAGAGCTTCTAAGAAAAGAAACTGATAAAGTCCAGTGGTTTATAGTTATGTTTGCACATGTCCCCGTACTGTAAAATATTATGGTGTTACCATGGATATTAATCAAAGAGATATTTTCATCCCAGTCTGTTTTATGTAAAGGATTTTGAGGCCTCAAGAGCTCAAAGCATTCAGTGTCCTCTAAGAAAAAAGCTGCCTAAAGCCATAACGTAAGGAAATATCAGCATTATAAGAATTAATAATCACGGCAACATGAGATGCCTAATGCATAACAAATGTCCTGACAATCCAGCTAATCCTTTTTATACATTTCTATCAAAATTACTCACAGTGATTATAAAGAAGAAGTCATTCAATCACTAGAGTCAGAAAAATGTATCATCTGTGAACCAAAACTGTTTGTGCATACAGCAAATGTGAAGCTTTCTCACTAAATTTGCAAAAAACATGACCTGAAAAGTTCACATAACTCATTAAACTTGTAAAGGTTAATCACTCTGAATCTTCAGATTTCAGCCTGATGGTGGCACCAGACAAAAACTGGTTGAAGAAGCGAAAATGGCTAGAAAATAAAGAAAAGTAATGGGCATTGTATTTAGAATAGAATAGAATAAACCTTTATTATCCCACAGTTGAGAAATTTACACTGACTATATCAATTTTCTCACTGAAGATACGGCTCGTTGCCCTCATCCCAGCTAAAGCGGCTCCCTATTCCCCTGCTGGCATCTCCAAACTGTTTAGTGGTGACCTGGGTGACAAACCGGCCAAGCCACCTGCGTTTTGTCCGTGATGAGCTGTATCCACATTGGGGCGTAGAAGTTGTGGCTGAATGGTTCTGGGTCAAGGTACAGATAATACAGAACTTTCAACCGATTAATTGTTTAAGAACTGGAAGCATTACCTGCTAATGTCAATCCAAGTGTTTTTAAGACGATGCTATTTCTCCTCAGGTCACCACATTTGGGCAATTTGTGTTTCCGCTAGACTCACCACACAAGAAACCATATGAAGTCTTTGTCCTGGGCCGATATCGTTGCTCTGCTGATATCTCAGAGAGGTGTGAAATGTTTGAGTTTCATCTTTAAATTCCATATTGTACCGTGCAAAAATGTGTGAAAACATAAAGCAAAATAGAGTGTATGAGGCAAAAACTGAGTTTGTACAATTCTTTTTTTTTTTTTTTTTTTTTCTTTTTGCCTGTCCCGTTTGGCTCTTTTGCCATCAGAATTGTTGTCTAAAGGCAAAGAAAGATGCCCAACGGATTTACTTTACCAAATTGACCATCCCAGCCTTGCCGTAATGGTCCATTTGATTCACCTTTTATTGTTTATTTTATTTTCACTTACTGAATACGGGACAGACTTGACTGGGGGAAAGAGGGGGAGAAAGAAAGAGGGAAAGAGAAACAGCTGAGAAGAGGGACGGGGGAGAAGGGCAAAAAACAAAAACCAACAGAACGGGCAGAGAAAAAAAAAGCATATATCGATCACCTGGGTCACCTGCTGAGAAAGAAAAAAGAAAACAAGCAGAAGAGAACAAGAGTAATAGAATAAACAACATCACAATGATATATGGGAATATGACAGTAAATACTAAATGTTAAACATTATTGTGCAGCACATAAGATCAACAGAACACAGTGTGCTTTGAGGTAGGAGCCAAAAAGGGTGTAGTTTGTGGGTGGGGATCACCCGTGTGTACACCTGTGAGCATGGACGCGCTTGTTTTTTGTTTTTTAAAAGGTTCCTTCATGTAATGATCTGCTAGAGGGTGTGGGGGGGCCACAGCCCCGTCCTCCAGGGCATGAAGCAGGTGTGGAGGAGATCAAAACTCCAGACATCCAGAGGCCCCCAGAACACAAGAGACCAAGGAAGACCAACAGAGGGGCAGCCGCGCCACTGTCCCAGAAAGAGCTGAGGAGAGTCCCAGATGAGGGGTCACTCAGCAGCCGCGGAGCAGAAGCCAGGGGGAGTTGCAGTGACGCGCCCGTGAGCTCCACCGGCAGCCAGCCGTGCCTGAGTGACCGAGGAGCCCCAGGCCGAGAGGCCGGGGGCACCCCACCTCCGAAGTGGCCCGAGCGAGCCCCAGGCTCCAGGCCCTGATAAGCGGCCGCCAAGGAGTGAGCTGGAGTTTGTACAATTCTAACGAGCTTGAAAAGATAAGCTCTTAGATGAGCTTTCTTGTCAGTTCTAATCCTCAGGAATAGCTCCTCAGGCAACTTCTTCTTCATTTCATCAGACCATAATATGGAGAAATGAGGACTGACTCAAGACTTTTGCAGGACTGGATATATAAATCATAGTTTCTCAGTCATCCAGGTCATGGTAGTGTTGAGTGTTTGAAGGAGAGCAGAATTACTTTTTTAGACCCTTGAACACATTTTCCTTCTCATCCAAGAGTTTTTTTCAGCTCCAAACTGATGGAGAGTCCAAGGTATTTGACCCTTAGTGGAGTTTGTCCCCTTGGACGTGGTTCTGAGGGTCGCAGACACACTAAAGGTGTCGCATGAACCAAAGTGTGAAAAAAGGCGTGGTCATTACCGCCATCGAGACTAAGGTGTGAAACCTCTGTAAGACATTGTTCCTCTCCACCATCATGCTGCACTGTAGGTGGCTGATAGCAGGAGGATTTATCCCTGAAGTTATATGGTAAGCTATCACAGGTGTTAAAGCAATGTCTAAGTATATCACTTCTTCAGGTTTGCATGTATCAAATGTAACATCTTGATATTATTCAAGGCAACAGCAGCTCTGGAATTTAAAAGGTGTGAAACCTCTGTAAGACATTGTCCCACACCACGATCAGGTGAACTATCTAGGTCACCTGAGGCAAGGTGTGAGTGGGGGTTGAAATGCCTGGGAGGAGATGATAGCTGGTGTCGTAAGCCACCACCTCTGTTCAGTGACGGTTGTTCGCATAGATGGCCTCCTTTATTTCTTCAGCTTTCCAAATCATATTTATGCTGACAGACTTGTGTACCCTCTTTCAGCCCCTCAGAGACATCAGAGGTGCCTGTGGAGGATCAGCGTTTGATTGTCAGTGTCCCATCAGCTCTGCACTCTCAGAAGCCTTCGCTGTCAGGTGAATATTCAAGTACAGTGTAGTGTCTTTGCCACCAGAGGGCAATAGTGTCACATCAATGATCGTTACCTTGATACACAACTTGAGTGATAAGCTCTGAATTCTGCTATCACAAGTGTGTGTGTGTGTGTGTGTGTGTGTGTACGTCGCTTCGTCAGTATATTCTTCAGTATATTCTTCAGTTCATGTATGAAATAGAACATCCTGATGTTAATAGCAGTAATTGCAGCTCTTGAATTTAAAACACCCACAATGTGTTTTTTTTGTAAAGGAAGAGAATTAACTACAGATTCATCACTTTACTTTTACAGCCACACAATTTTATGAATGAATTTGTTATCCACTGCGAAAAAACTTTGGTCTTTTCAAAATGTCTGCAGATTGGAGGAGAAAATACTGCTTCAGCTCATAACTACACTTAAATTCATTAAATCATCAACCTCTGACAGGACTGGCTCGTCAGAGCGGGCACTTCTACTGCTCACATTTCAGTTTTGTCCTGTTTGCACTGATTGGGTTAAACCTTGATTCCAGCATCCACTCTGCTTCTTAGAATCAATGTAAGACCTTGACAATGAATATGCAGAGACTATGAAAAAGAGAGGCTTGACGTCATCTCACTCCCTCTCAGGGGAACGCGATTTATTATTGTGCAGTATGGAGAGCAAAACACGGCCAGTGTTTGCTGGCGCCCTCTCAGCAGCACAGAAACGCCTCTGTCTCATGGCACTAGTTCAGTATTGTGAAAATAAAGATTTAAATCATAATGATTGCTTTTGCGAATCTGTGATGCCATAGAGATTAAGCAGATTAGGATACAATTTGTGTTCTGTCTACATGTGTGATTCTGTGTTTGTGGCAAAGCCTCTCAGCAGGTTTAATCAGAATTGGTTTGTTTGTTATTTGCTGCTGTGGAGGATTTTTATAACTTGGAATATATGAACTTGGAAAAACACCAATCATAGATCTAGTTATACTTTAAAAAATGTTGACCGCATATAGAAAATGTGTTGCATTTTTTTCTACTGCATTGCATACAAAGTAGTACTACTAAATGACCAGAATGAGCAGCATCTACGCTGTGTTACAACTCTAGCTGCTATGCACGCTCTGTTATTCTACACGAGGTGTGAAAGCGCCGTTGGATGTGGGTGTGTCTCAGATGTGATGGTGCAATGTGTAGTGAAATCTTGGGAAAGGTTTTGCCAACTCTTGCGGAGATGCCAACCAAAGCAGATAATTTCTTTTCATTTAGCTATTTGAGATGATAAGTTAACACCTAGAGGCTTAAGGGATGAGTTTTTCCTTTTCTTCACACCTACAATAGATTATGCAACTGCTAGAAATCTCAACACCTTTGGTATTAACCAACCTGAGCTTCCTCTTTTTTTTCAGTTCAAAATGTCACCCCGGTAATTCTGCTATACTTTTTCTTTCATGTAGCATGTCAGCATGTGAGCAGCCTTGATAGCGTGTTGAGAAAGTCTGACCCACTTCTGTTCCCCGACTCAGATGGGGCTCATATCACTGACATACTTGGTTGCTATGGAGAGATAAGGGACACCATTACTCCGCTATGGGTACAAAACGTCTTTGCCAGATGGTCACACTGCAGAAAAAAAATGGTCTGAAAGACAAGACATGTGTTTTTTATTAATTAGGCCCCCCTGCAATTTCTAAACTTATGAGAATCCCTTCCCAATTTGGGATTTTAATTGGCACCTTAATAGCTGTGCCTAATATTCAAGAAAAGGCACACTACCAGTTGTGTTATCAAATTGCTTTAAATTGGGGTGTGGCTCACTGAGAGCAATCTGTGTGACATTTTGCATAGTTTTTTAGCTCTGCGAGGCTGTGAACCTGAAGTACATCACGTAAACATGCTGCTGTCTCTGTTTTTCAGTACAGAATATTTACATGGATGAGCTTACATGTTAATAAAATTTGCTTTTTTTCATTTGGTTATGGCAGATGGCAACTTCATACAGCTGGTAAAGCAAACATGTTTGCAAACGCACCTTAAATATCAGGAGATTACAACCAGGAGATACAGGGGAGCGCTGGTCTTTAATTTGGAGTCAAATATTTGCTCTTCTTTTGCTTTTTTACTTAAGGGGAAATAAACGACTCTTCACCTGCTTGTCACCAACTGTCACAACCAGGGAGTGACAGATACGAAAGCTACTGCGTTTAACGTATTACTCTTTATGGATCATACTAAATTTTGGGCTCTAATATTACTAGTGGAATCACCTTACTGCGCATGTGCCATTTTCAGCTAACTACGTGTTAATGCAAATATCAAATCAACAGGTCATATAGTAACAACTCAATGTATTTTATGCATGTAGACATGGTCAAGACGACCTGCTGAAGTTCAAACTGAGCAGCAGAATAGAGAAGAAAAATCATTTAAAGTGACTTTGATCGTGGGATTGATGTTGGTCTGAGTATTTCAGAAACTGCTGATTTACTGGGATTTTTCCACACAACCATCTCTAGGTTTTAAAGAGAATGGTACGAAAAACAGAACATATCCAATGAGTGGCAGCTCTCTGGGTGAAAATGCCTTGTTGATACCAGAGGTCAGAGGAGTGTCACTGCTGTCATCTAAGAACAGGAAACTGAGGCTACAGTTCACACGGGCTCATCAAAATCAGAAAATAGAAGATTGGAAAAACGTTGCTTGGTTTGATGAGTTATGACTTTTGCTGCAACATTCACACGGTAGGGTCAGAATTTGGCTTAAACAATACGATGGCATGGATCCATCCTGCCTTGTATGAACATTACAGGTCATGGTGGTGCTGTAAATGTATGGGGAATATTTTCCTGGCACATTTTAGGCCCCTTAATAGCAACTGTGCATTGGTATTAAGGGGCCTACTGCTGCCTACTGCTGTGTTTTGCTGACCGTGTCCGTCCCTTTATGACTAGAGATTACCCATCCCCTGATTGCTGCTTCCAGCAGGATATTGTGCCATATCACAAAGCTCAAATCATCTCAAATTGAACACGACACTAAGTTCACTGTAAGTAAAAGGCCTCCACATTCTCAGATATCAATCCAACAGAGCAACTTTGGGATGAGGTGGAACAGGAGATTCACATCAGGTCGACAAATTGTGCAGCTGCTGTGTGATGTTGTCATGTCAATATGGACCAAAATCAAAAGCTTCTTGTTGAATCTGTGCCACAAAGAATTCAGCCAGCGCTGAAGTAAAAAGGGCTCCATTGTAGTAGCAAGGTGTCTGGTCAGTGTATGCTTGGCTACATCGTCTGCAACACAGATGACACATAAATGAAACTTGTTAAAAACATGCTTGAAATGAAGGGTTTGGATTCAATTCTTATCTTCTTTAGAAACAATGTAACAATAGGGAACAGCTTCTTGTTGGTAACGGACATAAAAATAGTCTAACTTATAGCACTTTGTGTCAAGACACTAGTTATTTAATTGGGTGTAGTAAAAACAAATGGAAAAAATATCTGTTAGTAACTTTTTTTTATGTTATTATGTATTTTCTTGCAATTATGTATCAATATATGAATAAAAAGCAACATGGTTCCAAAGCCAAACCCAGTGGGATGCCACAAATTAATATCTGAAATTAATATCTTAATAGTAGTCAATTCCATGATTATGTTGATGATATTTTATTCATAAATAAGTAGAATATAAACACAGTGTGGCTGAACAGCATATTGAGGAATCATAATGGAGACCAAGGACATTAGTTGTTACAATGTAAGGGAGCTAATGAAGAAGAATCAGTTTGGTTTTGCTTGGTTAATCCTGATGAGGATTTGGGAAGTCTGCAAGGAAGAATATCTAACAGCGAAAGTGTCAGGAGAGAAGTGAAATAACACCTTCCTTTGCCTCGGGTTATTCTTGGCAGAAGTTTGATACACTGTCCCATTTTAAAGGTAGGATAATTAGACCTTTTATTCTGTATTCAACTTTGAAAGCTGAGTCACCGATAGGAGCTGAATTACTTGCAGAGCTGCATGTTTGGCCTTTCCTCAACGTGACTGTCTCTCTCTCTGACGTGCATAGGAAGAAAAAAATGCGGGACAGCACATTCGGCAGGATCGGTTTGGGGATCTGGCTTTTGAGCTCATTAACTCCGTGAGTGTTGGCTGAGGCAAGTGTCAGGGTGGTTTGAGAATGCACAAGAGCAGACAGAGTAACAAAGGGGCAGAGGAAGTGATACGTATCTGTCAGGTGTGCCTCTCCTGGAATATCATTCCTTATAGAGCCAAGGTCACTGGCAGTCTCCACACAGAAAAATCAGTGCTATGGCGTGAAGGAGCTGGGAAACTGCCAGCTCTGTCCTCTGCCTATTACAGGGAAACAGGCAAAGTTTTGATTTTTCAATCACACAGAAAAGCACTAGTTTACATTAATGTAACAGTGACATATACGTGTAAATTAAGTGCAAAACATTAGAAAAAATGAACTTCTTTTGAAATATCCTATTAAATGCACTCAATTTAGAAGTTGTTACCCAGCTGAACATCTCTTATAGGCCCTATAGATGTCTCTAGTAGGTTCTGTCTAATACCAGCCAGTGGGCTCACTGAGAAGAACGCCTCATTGTTCAGTGGTTAAACTATTTACCCTTTAAAACAGCACCGAGAGTCTTCATAAGAAAGAGTGGTGGTGGTATAAGTCAGCTGTTTGAGATGCATTGTTTGGACTTACTTTTACTCACTGTTTCATTTAGTTGAGGTAAAAAACAGTTTGGGGTATAAAAGAAATGTCAATATTAAAATGATTATGTACATATTTTCATAACTTTATTTATATATTACAAAGCACACCAGAGTGAAAATGGATGGAAATATTCACGTGGCTAGAAAAAATTGTCCTCCATCCATCCATCCATCACTGTTTATCTTGAGTTGCGTCATGGAAACAGCAGCATTCTAAGTGGAGACACCCAAACCTCCCTCTTACTGGCCACCTCCTCCAGCTTATCCACCGAGTGGCCACCGAGGCTTTCTCAAACCAGTCCAGAGACATAATTCTTCAGCGGGTCCTGGGTCTACCCCGGAGCCTTCTACCAGTAGAATATGCTGAAAACACCTCACCTAGGAAGTGTCTAATCAGATGCCCTTATCATCTCATTTGGCTCCTTTTGATGTGAAGGAGTAGCAGCTCTTCTGTGAGCTCCTCCCAAATGACTGAACTCCTCACCCTATCTCTTAAGCGAGAGGCCAGCCACTCTTCAGAGAAAGCTAATTTCTGCCACTTGTACCGATTGTTTCATTCTTTTGGTCCCTACTCAGAGTTCGTAACCATAGTTGACGGTGTGAAGGTTGAGGTGCAAAACCATCAACTTCTATGATCTATGATGCTGGGCAGTAATTAGCACTGTTGCCTCACAGCAAGGAGGTTTGAGTCTAACATCTGGGTGGGGCCTTTCTGCATGGCGTTGGCATGTTTCCCCTGTGTTTCCATGATTTCTGTCTGGGTACTTACTCCAGTTTCCTCCACAGTCCAAAGAAATGCAGTTAGCAGGGTCATGGTGATAGGTGAAGTGAATTAATGTGAATTGACTGACTTTTTCTTGCTATTTTTTAAAGGTGGTGGCCACAGACTTGGTTTCCATCTTTAAAGCAACCATTTTAAAATCAATGAGTTTAGTCAGTATGAGATTTACATGTTCTTCTCACACAACCACTAAAGTCGTTTTACATAATCCAACATTTCCTGATTATAATAGACATTAACAGCTAACATAATCAATAGCACTGATAACAATGGGTTATACTGGCTAATTCATATATCATTGAACTCATGTAGAATGTAGAAGTTTTAAAATTTGAGCTCTTTTGTCAATGGCTCACATCTGCACACTGATGGATCCATAGGAAGTCATGTGGGTTCTGTAGCTTGTGTTAGGACATTTGACTGGAGGAGCTAGGTTCAAATCCACTTCACCACAGCCACCATGTAGAGAGGCAAAGACACAAGGTTTACAGCTTGTCACATCCTTTTATAGTAAATTGAAGGTAATATATTTTAAATATAGGGAACTCAAGAGCCACTGAAGCTTTAATTTTAAGTACTAAGTGTCTTGCTACAGGCATGTGTGTGCTGACATACTGGCTTGTTGTAAGAGAGGTATATAAGAAAACCTGTAAAGATAATTACGCAAAAGCTGGGATGAAATTCAGTGGCAACAGGTTTCAGCGATGAATCCGCATTTGAAATATTTGGATTAAGTCATTGTAAGGAGGAGATCAGGAGAGAGCTGCGTTTCAAACAGTGGTGTTGCTGATCTTGTCAAAATTGATGGAACTATGAACAAAGACAAGTAATGTTGGATTTTGAATGGAACAAAAGGCAGCCAAGATCCAAAGAAGAGATTTGAATGTCCTTCAAAGAAACCTGGAGAATTATTCTTGAAGACTAGCTACAAATTACAAGAAAGTTTATCTGACAGAGGTCATGCTGTGTTCAAGACTTTTAAACTGGTTCAAATTGTACACTGTTTTACTTTATATACTTTTTTCCCGTTTTCCTAGAAAAATCTAAAGAAATGAGGGATGGCTCAACACTTACGCACAGTATTTCATGTTGAGGGATAAAGCGGTATCGCCACATCTCCACTTTCCCCTCACTTCTCCTCAGTCCCATACAATAGATGCTTTCAAACATGCATTTCCTACTACGATCTCAGACTGGCTTTACGCATTCGTAGGTCAGAGTTCACCTTTGAGAAAGCTCTGTTCGGGAGGCTGTAGCCTCTCAGCAAATACAACACTACCCTATTGTTTGGAAGTGGTAGAAGTTGCCATGTGAGTGTGTTTTGACGTATTTCAGCTGACATTAAAGTTGTGTGTTGTCTTTTGTAATTTTGGCCACATGTAATTGTGATGCTGTACATACTATAGCAGAGATATGTAGGCTGGTAGGCGAGATTGTTTAGTTTAGGTTTCACATCATAGGTGTGAAACTTCAGGTTTGTTAGATCTCCAGGTGAAATATGAAAGGAGTATTTTCCAGTTTGCACAGTGAGGACTGTAAATAACAGGGCAGACACCGAAAGCCTTATAATATGCAATAATAACTCTCCCTCATTGCTTTCCCTTCACAGAGGTACTGAAGCCATACATTGGAGCTGACGCCAAGTGCTTGGAGCTGTTTGCAAGAAGTCTTCAACCAGGATGGACCAGCTGGGGCAATGAAGTGCTCAAATTCCAGCACGTTAGCTATTTCAATTTGACACCTGTAGATGAAAAAGCAGAAGCTGAGGATGACTGCACAGCCAAAGAAAAACAAGCACAAGGGTTCGATTCACCTGGGAAAACCTGACCTCCTGACCGGTGTCCCTCCACTGTGAGCCTGTGACTGACCTCTGACACCTGTTAGATCAGTAATTTAGTTTGTATTTAACGGTGATTCAGCGCCAAAATGTTTCTCTACCAGTTTCTTTTGATCTGTGCTCGTCATGCATGTGGGACCTTTGATTTCTTTTTTTTGGTCTGTGTGCATTTTTAAGGTAGCGAAACACAAGTCTGATGAGGCAGCTGGAGAGATGAAAGTGCTTTTCAGTGCAGCTGTTTTGAACCCAGCTTCCCACGCTGCAATCAGATAAACAACACTTTTGTTTTTTTTATTTGCCTTTTTAGTAATGTTTGGCACATTGTGCGTCTTAAGGATGATCAAAGTATTTCTATTTTTACTTATTTTATGCTGTTTTGAGCTGAATTTCAAAGAAGAAACACTTTCATAGTGAATGCATGCTGGGTTGCTTATCCTTTAAAGTTTTTCACACGAACAAGCCACTGATGTCTCCTTCACTCTGCCTTTTGCCCTGTCAACGGCAACCGGTTCTATCATTGGATCATTTGTCGCTGAATCCTTCCTCATTTTTCAATGAAAGATGAACTCGTCCCATGTCACACTTCTAACCAGCTAACCTGCCTTTTCCTGTTGACTCTCTAATGAGTTTGTTGGTGTCTGCATTTGGATGAACGCCGCTGTCTTTGAGACAGAACAGGATGAGTTATGGCCACTGCAGCAGCGTGCACATCACAGCTAATGAAGCCAGACTGTGTCTTCTGCAGGATTACGTATACATCACCTTGTCAAGTTCTCTACCTTTGAGTCTATAACACACACGGGCACATTAGTGTATTCCTTACACTGTATGTCACAGTGGCATCATCCATTTATTTGTGAAGTCCTGTTTTGTGGATCTTAACATTTTAATAGATTGAAGTGAGTAATAGAAGTGAGCATGTTCGGATATTTGCATATTTGAATAAGAGGGTGAAGTGCTGATTTTGAAGATGGGATGAATCGATGGTGCAGGTACATGTTGAGTATTGCCAAGTATGGTAGCCATTAACTATAGTGACCAAAGCCAGTTTTTATATTACGTTGTTAAAGTGCCTATTTACCTTGTAAAGTTGGGCATTTAAGGTTTTGTACAACGTGGGATTATATGGGAACTGACTTACTTTTGGTGCATGAACAGATAGAAAACATAGAATTAGCTTTCAGATCTGAAAAGTGATGTCAGCATCGAAATGCTTTGATCCTGCATTGTTTTCACATCCACCCTGGGGGAACGCCAGGCCTCGAGGGCCAGTGTCCTACAGGTTAGATGCATCCTTGCTCCAACACAGCTGATTTAAATGGCTAAATGACCTCCTTAACATGTCTCGAAGTTCTCCAGAAGCCTGGTAATGAACTAATCATTTGATTCAGGTTTGTTGACCCAGAGTGAGATCTAAATCCTGCAGGACACTGGCCCTCGAGGTCTGGAGTTCGACACCCTGCTCTGGTCCTATAGAAATCTATGTAAAAAACAGCCCCGTTTCCCTCTTTGCTCATGACTTTATAAGTTCAGTCACTCCTTTCAGGTCTTAGTCAAAAAATATTAACCAATTAACTTAAACATTTTGCACATTTTGGTCATTTTAAGCATGACAAAGGAAGATTATCCCAGATCTGCTCATTAGATAATAACTTGTTTACCAATGACCATGCAGTTTCACAGTCAGATTAACCGCTCACTTGTCATACCTGGTTTCAAATCCCTAAGATGGCAACATGAAAATCCCACAGCTCAAAGCTCAATGACGGGACTTTACAAATCAAAGCGTGGCTGCAGCCATCTTTTAAACTCTGTGTGTTTTAGAGCCAGTCTCTTGTGGTCATTGGAGGAACTACAGTTTTTGGGACTGTTTTAAGGTGTTACTCAAAATAAGTAAAGCTGTTTAACATTAAACATGGTGCACATGTAACCAGAAGGTCCATATTAATATGACTCATAACTCCTGCCACTGTTGAAAGATGTAAATTTTCTGTTACCACCTTTGTGTGTCTTAAACTAAGCATTTTTTAAAACTTGAATTGAGAACATGCTGACATACTGTTTTCTTTTTTCTTAACACTGTTTGCTGACCTGTTGACAGTAGAGGTTGGCGGATCGATCCAAATATCGATCGTTTCAATACCAACTTTGATATTGGTATCAGATCGATGTTAGTGCAACAGGATCGATACTGTGTTTCTATCCCTAAAGTTTAGTATGTAGTCCATGAACTGTGATAAATAAATGCATTTTTTTAGAAAACACACTATGAAAAATGTCTGGGCCTTTTTGTGTTGACTACCACATCACATTTTTGTCAAGCCTATAACACAAAGCACTTTAGAGATAGGTACAGTTACATTCAAGCGCTCCAAAACCCCCAGTTTCAAAATGAAAAGACAAGCTGAAAAGTGTTTTTTGTTGTGTTAGCCGATTATTGTGCAAAGTAAAAATCACAGGGATTTAATGGTCATTAAAATGTGTTCAGAATTCATAAATCATGGCACACAGCTCTCCCCTACACAAGCTGCCTTTAAAGGTCAAAAGTATTTTAATGAGTAGAACATTGAACCACATCATTCATCTGTCCGTCTGTACTGCAGGCTGCAAAGTTTATTGAGATAGTTTTTTTTTTAAATGGTAATGGGAAAGAGGTTATTGTATAACCTGCATAAAGCATTTAAATGTCATATTTTAACTCAACAAGGTGTTGCACTTGTACATCAGCTCTTCTTGAGAAATGAGGTTTTATAAAAGTTATGAATATATCTATGTAATACAAGGATTACTCCTTAAACTAAAGTAAAGTGAAACATTAACATAAATGAGTTTTGTGAGGTTGAAGGTGAAGAGCTACTCAATAGTGTAATTCAGGTCTCCAAGGATTTCTCTTTATTTTAAACAGCCAACATAGATGAAACCTACCATCAGCTCTCACAATCAGGCATGTCACAAACACAAAGAGTGTGTGACGCATCATCCTTCAGTCTGATCAAGACTCACACACATTTTACTTTATTTGTAAAGGGTTTAAGTGGTCTTTGGTGTTCTTTTTACTTATAACCACTGAAGGAAAGTGCAAAGACGTAAAGCAAAAGAAAATATAGATGAACAGATGATAAATGAAGCTGACTGAAGTGTACCTTTACTGTATCACACTGTCACTGTCTAAGACATCTGTTGTTTCCTCCCTTTACCTTCTCTCATTACTTGCTTTTTGAATAGAAGCTGTCATCCTGGATGCAGTCGGTCTCTAAAAGCCTGCCATGTGCTGCTGAATGAAGTCACCACAGTCATCATCTCTCTTACAGGCGCCGGTGAAATGAGCGTGTCCTGTCAAACTCAAGATGAAGCACCAGAACAAAGACCTTGTCACCCCTTCTTCCTCCAGCTTCTCCTGTTCCTCTATTAAAGCCAAGGGAAAAAAAAGAAAGTTTTTGTTTCAAATCCTCAAAAACAACCCCAGTCTGCTGATATGTTTTGCTGTATTGGTAGCCCATTTGAAAAGTGAAGTCTGAGGATAACACACTGGAGCTTTACAGCAAATTGACTATGACCTCGCCGCTCGCCATTGTTGCTTTGTGGGAATTTGTGTAATAATGTACTAAACAGTACTTATAGATACAGTAGTAGTAGTAATAGTAATGACAGTAGTATTGAATCATGTATTGGTTCGGCTAGTAACAACAACAGCTACTGCTCGAGTACCTTTGTATCAGAATAGGAGAATTAAAATGTTTGGTTTTCTGTTAATTATGATTTTTTTCTTTTTCTACTAAAAGCACTATTGAGACAATACTGCATTAGTATGGATGACCTTTAAAATGAAACTTTACCTTTAAATGACATTTACCGGTTTTGATTTGTTATGGTCCAAAATAATCTTTTACTGTGTTTCTTTGCTATAATTTACACTCTGGTTGAATTAGGAAAAAAATATTAAGACTGTCGATAAACTGGTGACTCATTAGTTAAATTCCTTTCGACTTCCTGACTTCCACAGACTAATTATTGATCTGATTTGGCATCAGTGTTCGATATGCATCCCGATCCTTAGAATACTCCTTAAAACACATATCAAGGCAGAGGTGCTAAAACTACAGTTCCTTTAATAACCACTGGGGACTGATTTCAAATAGCAAAACAGTCCCTATAGATCCCCATGTTTAAATGCCTAACTTTGAACCATTAAAAAACATATTTACAGCCTGGTGCAAATTACAATTTTGGCCTCTGTGGGTCATTTTCTCCTTTATAACAACTCTAAGGATGGTCCTTTTTTTTTTAAATATCCACCTGGATATTGCTATTAAGGTTTAATTAATAATGACTAGCAGCTACACACTGTGTAAACATCTCAAGCCACCCCTCATTTCTTTATATTTTGCTGTGAACATGCATAGAAATACAGTATAAGAGGATATTGTGTCTTGACCACCATTATTTTTTACCACATCCTATAGACAAGCTTTCACTGGCAGGGACCATATCCTTGACAATGTTTCTTGAAGGAGAATGATGGATGGAATAGAGATAGATTTAGGTTTCTGTGGTTTGGGCAAAGTTTCAATGAGGACTGGTGGTGACCCCTGGGCTGTGCTGATGGGAGACATGAGAACTGAGGAAAGGGAGAGAAGACGGGGCACAAAAATGACAACCAACAGGCTATTGTAAGGTATTATCAGCAATACAGCAAAATACTTATGTTTTAGCACTTTAAAATACACATTCATGGAGAGAGCCTGTTCAGTGCACGGTAGTACAAATTAAACAGTTTTACAGTTTTACTACTCTTTACATTAGAGTTTACATAAGAACTCAATTAGTAGTACAACTTCAACAATTTGTACTACTAACTGAGTTCTTCCATCTGGGATTGCTGACTCGGGGCATGTTGGTCTACTCTGACTATCCAATAGGGAAATCCAAGATGAGAGGGTGCTCTAGAAAAGAAATTCCAACTGGGAACTCGGAATTTCCAACTTCTGACTTATTTAAATGATTGCCCAAAAGCAGTGGGTGATATCATGAAGGCTACATCTACCTGAAAGCGCTTGTGCAGCTCTAAAACACTATTAGATACTCTTAGTCTCCATTATTACTGAAACCTTTTGATTTCAACATACACTTTACTCAATGTAAGTGACATGCCCGTGGGGTCAGCATGTTGAATTATCATAGTAACCAGGCATGGCAGAACAAGGTTATTTTTAATTCCAGGAACACAACCTGGATGTTGTATTAAATCATTTTCTGCAGTCTCTCCAGTGTGCAAGCTGTCCCACACCATCAACCGCAACCCATTTCCCATGTAGCCCTTGCTTCGACAGAGTTGAGGAAAAATGTTGCTCTAAATAGAAGCTTTGTCAACAACTCCTCGCACAGAGGGAAAAAACAAAGTCTTTGGTTTAGAGACAGACGGGCAGCAAACTGGCAGTCATCACAGCTAGCTGTCCCACAGGAGGCTGCGGGGGGATGACAGAGATAATTATTTCCTAAGAGGTGCTGCTTTCCTCGTCTGTCTCAGTCCCACAGCCCCGTCCTCTGTGCTTGCGTTGCTAGACACACTCATGAAGCTCATACTTCTAAACATTTGATGCCAACAAGCAGCAGCACTTTCGTCAGCATCATCAGAGAGAATGTGAAATACGAAGAATAGTATGGAGACACGGAAACAATTCCCAAGGTATAAATTTATTATCACATACTCTTGATATTCATGGAAGCAACACAAGTATCTCGGTACATTTCTGAAGAAAAGCTCTGTGGTCCAAAGAGATACGACTACTTGATATTTTTCAACTGAATGGGCTCTTTTCTCATGTTCTTTGTGCAGATATTCCTTTTGTTACTTACTTCATTGTGGGCACTTATTTGATATCCTCTGACTTCTCGGCACTAATCAGCGAGATGGTGATATTAAACTACACAAATGATTTTTTATTCATGCAGTTCCTCATGCAGGCGGCGTAGTGAGCTTTGATTTCCTCTCTGATACACATTCAAATGATAATTTCATTTCCTCAAAGGATTCATTTATCTCTAAATTTGAGATGAAAGCAATCAAAACAACTGTTTCGTTGAATTTCTTAAATATATTTATGAGGATGCAGACTAATCTGATTTACCGTAACATGTACTTTATGAAGTGTTTGAAAGCCACCCAGGGGGACAGGATATATCCGGCTGCTATTAAATATACATATGAAGAAAGGAGAAGGAAAGAGGAGCATGTTTCAGAGCTAAATCCAGGCACGCTGTGGAGCTTGTAATTTT